GCATTTTCTACTATGAAAATTATGAAGACTCATTTACGCAATCGGATGGGAGATCAATTCTTGAATGATAGTTTAATTCCATATGTTGAGAAAGATATATATATTTGACAATGTTGATAAGGAGATGGTCATGCAATGATTTCTCAATATAAAGCCCCACCGAGGACAATAGTAAATGTAATTTTTATTTTCTTTTTGTGACAATTTTGACTAGAAAAACAGAATATAAATGTTATGTACAATTAGTTTTCATTTGGCCTACCCTAACAGAAACTTCTGAATCCGCCCCTGCCTAAGGTGTTGAAACAATAATTAGGTAAACCTCAAGGGGCTGTCAACTATTATCCCTCAAAATAAAATCTAATAGTTAATTGATGTCAATCCTATAATCAAAATCTAATAGTTAATTGAAATCGACTTAAACCTAGTATAGACTTAAAACTCCATTATTTCTTTAACTAGTTTGGTTTGTGAAACTTATTTAAAAGAATATCTTTATATTAGTACTTATAAAATAATTTATTTTATAAAAAATTTCTAAATAATGTTTGTATAGCTTTTAATTAAGAATGAAAAGTTGTTTATACAAACGTGAAATATAAAAATATCTTGAAACTTAATAAAAATTATTTTATAATATTTATATAAATAAAAATTATTTATATTAATAATTTAAATTTTTATTTAAAAAACAAAACAATGGAGTCATTGGTTGGCAACTCTTGAGAGTTCATTCAACGATATTGTCGATTAGTTTGGAAACTCCACATCTTATTGTAGTGATAGTGTGCTAAAATAATTTATATATATAGATTTAATTCATATTTTATATCTAAATAGTATCATCTAATTAAGTTCCTCATACTTTTAGTAGTTACAATCTCCAAAGACAGCCCCCATAGGGCTGTTTTCCATAATGTTATACCCCAGCCCAAGGCTTTCCTTAAGAAGTATGAACCAAAAATGACTGTCATTTGACAAGCGAATTACTGCGAATGGTAATGAAGAGTGGTTGAAGTTATCATGATTGGTTGCATCTATGAGAATATGTAAAAGCATATTCTGGCTGGGTAATATGATAAAACCCCACATGAATTACTAGCTTGGAATATGTCATTGAATTTAAATGTATTAAAACTTCATCCTCACCAGTTTGAGAAAAGGTCTGAGAGAGTAATTAAGTCAATATTATCCTGTTCATGGACTGGGCAAGACCCAACAGTATTCGTACGAGAAGGATGGATCCTAGGACAGTTAAAACAAGAACGTAAAAACTTTGATAATTCTTGTTATATTTGTTGCTTCTTTCTGCATAATTATGACCAATTATGGACAACAAGCTAGGTCTTTTAACCTTCTCAATACAAATGGATGTGATTTTCTATATATTTCCAACTTCGGCGATTCTAATTCTGACACTGGAGGAAAATCAGTAGCATTTTACAGACGTCCTTCAGCTAATGACGATACTTACTTCCACAAGTCATCTGGGAGGTACTGTACGGACGCCTCATTCTTGATTTTCTGCGTTAGTGTAGATAGGAGTGTTAATTCTTGCTTTGCTTCTCATTTCCATTATATAGTGTTTCACACTAGTTAGTAGTTATTTATCTCTGTAGCTGAGAAATTGGGATTGCCCTTCTTGAGTGCATATTTGGACTCAATTGGTACAAATTTTTTACATGGGGCAAAATTTTGCTATTTTCTATAATTCAACCATTGGATACAAAAAATCTTTAGGGAGGTTTCAGCCCCATCTCTTTTGACATACAACTTTCATAATTTGAACCATTCAAAGCACACACAATTGATGTACAACAAAGGTTAGAAGTAAAAGCTCCATTTGAATTCAAGGGTGAAAATAATCTTGAGAAACAAAAATTATGCTTTATTGGAAAATCATTTTAACTTTGATTCATTCAGGTACCAATGTATCCGTCAAAAGCAGTCTCCTAAGAGCTCATGACTTCTCCGAGGTGCTTTACACATTTGATATTGGACATAATGATCTTCATTCTAGATTCAAGTCTATGACAGAGGACATTTGAATGAGTCTATTCCTAGAATCATCAATCGTTAAGACAGGCCGTAGAGGTAACTAATTAATTAGTTGTGCTTTTGCTATGGTAATAACTAAACAGATAAATATTCTGCAACATACACACAACATTTATATCTGTTGAAACTTTTGCAAAGCAAGTTTGCACCCTGTGCCAGCATATTAGTAATATTAAGGCTGCAGTTGAACAATTAGCTTGAACTTTTTCACACGTTTTAGAATCCTTTACTAGTAGGTTGTTTAACGGTTTTCTCTAAAAGATGGTTTTTCATTCAGGTGCTGTAACCCACAAGTTTGAGGTGCCAGCAAAAACTAAATAGTAGTTTAGGGTAATCGTTTGAGCTAAAGCTTCATGAAGCAAAATGCAGATCCATACTGCTATTTCCTCTTAAATCTCTTGATGCAACTTTGTATAGGTAGAGTTAGACCTGGCAAAAACAGGCAGGCAGGCCGGGTCCAAACGGGTGCAGGTACCATGGGTACGAGTCCCACTAGTACGGGCCCCACTAGTATGGACCCAAAACAGGTCGATCTAAATAGGTCTAGAATATTGGACCTGCATCCTACCCTATGCAGGTACTGGTGAACCCGCAGGTACTCGCACTATTCACAGCCAATTTTAAATTTTTTCAGCCCCAGTAGTTTTCAATTATGACAGTTACAGCCCCAAAATTCCTACAGTTTTATTTTTTACAATTACAACCCTAGAATCAACTACTCTAAATGCAATTCAATTCAGATAAACAAATACCAAATACATAATCACTGATACACATAAACAAATACCAACCACAATAAACAAATACATAATCAATAATACACATATACAAATATCAACCATAATAAACAGATACATAATCACTAATACACATATACAAATACCAACCACAATAAACATATACATAATCACTAATACGCTTAAACAAATACCAACCATAGTAAACAAATACATAATTACTAATACACATAAACAAATACCTTTTACAATGAACAAATACATAATCACAAATACACAAAAACAAATACCAAACACAATAAATCAATAACACAAATACAAAAACACAAGATAAATTTAACTTGACTTGACATTGTTCAACTAAAAATATTTTTGGCCAGCTCATGTTCATTCCACGGTGGGGGTGATAGTAGAGTCTCTTGATTCCACAATCCCTGGATTAGTTAATGACATATCAAGATCATCAACCACATCATCATCTACAATTATCAACTACAAATATTAATAAATGTAAATAATAGAACATATGAAATATTATGTTAACATGTTACTTTTAAACTCATATCCATATAGTCAAGTCCGAGTGCCTATCAAAGATTCTGCATTTTTGGGTCAAAGTAAGCTTTGATATTTGTTGAGCACTTTATTGGCAATACTAAAAGCGGACTTCGAAGTAATAGATGTTATTGGTATAATCATGATATCACAAGCCATCATGAAAAGTACCGGATAATGATCACAATTCCTCTTCCAATACTCAAGAATATCCAAATTGTTAGAGTATGTGCATTAGAGCCAACGTTTTAGCTCTTGTAAACTCATTTCAAATAAATGAATAAAAAAGGCATCGCTTATTTATGAGCACATAGACTATAATATATATTTACTGCGCATAAAGAAAATAGTATATGTCCTTAAAAAGGTTGGAACCAGTGACGAGAGAATTAAGTGTTATAAATCTTAATTGTGAGAACCTTATGAGCACATATGGTGGCCCTTCTTAAACTTTCCGTAGTCATAGTCTAAATCTGACCAAAGGCACAGATTACACAGAGAGATTATCATCGCATTGAACGACTTTATCGAAAGGTAGTGACAGATCTCACATGTCAAGGCTATGGGCATTAACCTGGTGCAACGCATTGGTGCTTGCTTATGCAAGTACACTGGACTGACCCATCAGAGAATTCCACATGAGATGGTAAACCCAATGTCTGTAGAATATATCTTTTTACGGATGGTGGCGCATGTGGTCCTTCAACTTGAGATCACCAAAGCGTCGTGTGTAAATATCAATGTGATTTGACACTAGCCTGATGTCGTCTCTCTTAGGGATTACCAAAACAGTAGCGATTGATTGCATCAAGAAGTACACTATGGCTATGGTGGATCAACAAAGGATTCATCACTTCTAGTTATAGGAGATCTTATCTCGACGAGATATTTGGTTAAAGAACTATGACCTCAAATTCGTGGCCACGATGGAATCGAGTTGGTGCTCGAATCCAATTTTATAGTCTTTAGATTCAAAATCCAAATATAGAACATGTCAAGGTAGCTTTTGAGGTAGACACTATTTTTGTACCTCAAACCTTGATGAGATAAAATATGATGAAACAGATCGAATTGCACGATAACCATGTCGTAGATAAGGTAAGCCTAAATCGTTGATTCTTTACTTACCGAGGAATCATGATACCTTGCTAGAAGTCAATCTTAACTAGTGTACGAAAACACTAATTGCTTGATGCTTAATTAGTTATCGGGACACTATCGACAAAGTGAAGAGCCTTCGGGTCACACATATAAAAGGTAGTTAAGTGAGCAATGAAAATGGAAGGACAATCTTCTCCTTGGGCCAAAAAGGGTATTTCGGTAATTTGGCAGTCCATGGTATTTTCTTCATTATGGGTGAAAATGACACTTTGGTAATTTTGTTAGGGGGTTAAGTCATTATTCAATTTATTGGAAGAGTTTTTAGCAAAATTGGATTCATATTAATTTTAATTAATATGGAGATATATATATTAAAACCCAAATATTAAATATATATATGGATTAAATAAATATATTTATTTAATTAGTTTATATATATTTATGGAATCAAATAAATAGCTTTATTTATTTAATTAAGTATTTGATATTTAAATAGGATAATATCTCTAAGAAATATTATCCTTTCCTTTTAGGATCACTGGAATCCTTCCAAAATAGGGATTCAAGGATTGTAATCCTTATTGAATTCCTATTTGGATTTACACGATAAAAAGAGGAGGGTTTTTAGTTTAAACACAAGAGAATTCTTTTGGGAAATATAATTGAATAAAATCAAACTATTCTCTCTCTCTCTCTCTCTCTCTCTCTCTCTCTCTCTCTCGCCAAAAACCCTAGCCACCCTTGAGAGTTTTCTCTCAATTTTCTGCCACCATCACTTAAGCCTTTTGATTGGTCTAACAATCAATCCTAGGGTGATCTCGAGCCTACCTTCGTGTGGATACCGATGGACTCAATCCTACATTGGATTGATAGCAACTAGTTGGAGAAATCCAAAGAAGGAGATGCCAACGGAGGTAAATCACATAACCTTGTATGGTTATTTTATGTTGATTATTCAGTCGAAATCGTGTTCTTGGATAATGGAATCATGCCATGGCAATAATTTTTATTGTAATTTCGTGCTTGCCATGACATGATTCCTACACAAATTTTGATTTTTAATGTGATCAAACCTTGTTTCTTCCAAATAATGATCCAATTTAGATTTCTTAGTGGTAATAAATTCACTCTCATAGTTGTCAAAATCCTGCACCATTTAAATAGTCAAGTATCAAAAGTTAAAATTAAACAATAAACAATACTTTATTAATCACAAGAATATAAAAAGTATAGTGACTTATACAAGTATGATCTACACGCCTACCAAGAGTAAGACCACTCATAGTAGAAACAACTGAATGTGAGATGGGAATTTGTTTGGAACATTGGACCTCGTAAGCTTAAAAAAGCTTATGGAAGTTATTCTTAAGAACCTTCATCTTTTGTTGATCAGTAGTTAAATCATAAACTTTTTTGTAAGCATACTTCACAAACTAAAACTTTAGATGTGGGTTAACAATAGTTGCAATAGTCAACACAACACTATAAGAATCCTAATATTTTACAAATTTCGGGATCATTTGTTCTGCCATGCTCCTAGTAATTTCATCCTCACTCATTCTTTCTTCAATTAAACACAATTGAATTTTCCACACACATTTAAAATACAAGTTTGTTGTAGGATATTTGGAACTCGAGAATAAAGTTGTAATCTCATAAAATGGTTCGAAGAACTTGCATATCCTCTCCCCTTATCCCATTCTTCATTTGATGGACAAAATTTATAATTAAGATCTATTGTTGATAAAGGTACAAACACAGTACGACATATTAACGTAGTTTCAAGCATTAAAAAAGTTGAATTCCATCTAGTGGAAACGTCCAATCCCAACCCCATTGAGCTTTTCACACCCATTTGTACAGAAAGTTCTCCAAAATTGATTCTTCTAGCCTCAATTCCTTTATATATTTCACACTATCTTGAATCTTATTTAAAGTCACACTAGTAGTTTTTAACTCTTCCTGAACAATAAGATTCAAAATATGTGCAGAACATCGCACATGCAAAAAATCACTCATACATAACAAAGCATTCTACACACAAAGTTGGTTCTTTAAGATATCCTCCATCCTATCATATTACCATTTGCATCGTCCAAAGTAATTGAGAAAACTTTCTTTTCAATTCCCCATTCTTGTAAGAAAGTCAAAACTTTATCTGCCAAAACAATCCCTAAGTGTAAAGGAGGAATATGGCAAAAGTTGAGTATTTTACTTTGTAACACCCAATTCTCATCTACATAATGAGTTGTTAAAGAAATATATCTCTCAATTGTAGCAGAAGTCCAAACATCATAAGTTAAGCATATTCTACTAGTAAACATATATCCCTCATTCAAGCTTAGTTTTTTCTTTCATCGTTTCATATACTTTTAAGCAATTTGCCTTAGCGGTGTTCCTAGTATAATGCTTAACATCCTTACACAAATACAAAAAGACATTCCTAATTCCTTGATTCTCCACATATGAATATGGATAATTATGTTGAATAATTGATAATGTCATCTTCTCACGAAAAGTCTCTTGACTAATCTTTCTACTTTGCAATTTATGATCATGATCAATCAATAATTGCGCCATATTAGTATTGCCACGTTTTGGACAATCTCCTACATGACGCTTCAATTTTTTAGTCACATGAGTGGAACTACCATATGCATAAGTTTTAATGCACCCCTTACACCTAGCCCTCTCATTCCTATTCATCAAAATATGTATCAAAATAATTCCAAACTTCTGATGTTTACATTTACTTTTAGAACTAGTAGTAATGCTAGTATTAGAAGGAGGCGACATTACCCTAGAAGCATCATCACTTTCTCTCACATTAACCATATCCATATATATAGACTTAGAATCCGCCATGTCAATGCTTGAGACTACCTAAACAAAAAATCAATAATTAGTTATGACAAATCAAAAATTGAAAATTCTCCGGCAAGAAACTAGACAAACTAAAAACAGCCTGATCACCTATTAGCTTCTCCTTATTAAGAGAAAAACAGCATAGTCACTAAAATAACTTAAAAAAATCCACTAAAAAGACATTACCAGGCTCATATAATATGTAATAAAATCTACAATAAAGCAAGCAAAAGCATAAAGGCTGACCACATATAATTAAAGATGATTGTGTTCAATTTGATGCAAGTTGGATAATTTTTCATCATCCATAGACAGAAACAGAATGGGAACTGAAAGAGAAAACTGAAACAACATTAGTATCATACAAGCTTGAAATATAAATCAAAATGATGCTTGGACTTACTAAACATGAGTGCTTTGTATAGCCCCCAAAGTGCACAACTATCATACCAACCTATCCCAATACACAAATCAAGTATGTCTATACAAATTTGACAATATACTGCTCTATTTCTACTAAAAAAAAAAAAAAAATTGACTAATTTAACTTAAATAACAGTTATTATGTGAATTTTGTGTTAAGGAAATAGCAAACATAAATGATAAATATAGTCTTCAGTTTCTACAAGACATAAAACGATAAAAGTGGAAAAGTGGGTTTGAGTTCATAAGGAAACCCCCTTAAAATTATGTTTTCATTTTGCTTCCCTATTTTCAATTTGAGTTCATTCTTTGAAAACAAGAACACACAAAACACTATCGAATGCTCCTTTAAAACATTTGTACAAAATCTTCAACAATTTCACACTTATTTATCTTTTAGAAAAACCAGGAATCTCCAAACCAGTAACCCCAACATAAACCCATAACATCCAAACACTTTATTTCTCGTATGTTTTCTCCAGCGACAAATAAAAACACAAAGCATGAAATGAAAACAGTAACCCCAACATAAACCCATAACATGCACACTTTGTATTTCCCTTATGTTTTCTCCAGCGACAAACAAAAACACAAAGCATGAAGTGAAAAACAGTAACCCCAACATAAACCCATAACATGCACACTTTGTATTTCCCTTATGTTTTCTCCAGCGACAAACAAAAACACAAAGCATGAAGTGAAAAACAAGAAATAAGCAACAAGAGAAGCACTAGGAAATAAAGTGAAAGCAAAGCAGTGACAGAGCAATAAATCTTGGAAGCGATAAGCTAAGATAGTAAAGTGGAAAAGCTTACAACTATGCAATATTTAGAAGAGAAAAATTGCAAACTCCTTACACTATCCCAAAAAGTCCAATTACACCCTTAATAAACACCCACTATGATTATTCTTTTGGTGTCTTTCTTATACTTTTGTGAGATACTTTAAGAACACAAATTACTAGTCTATTTAAAGGGGAGAGTCCCCCTGCAACCCCCTTTCCCAAGCAACATGGGATTCAAGGCACTATCACAACAATTCCTCACTTGACTTGAATCCCCAAGCATCATAGTAGCATATGAAAAACTTACTTGGTTGACAGTTTTCTTTTCTTTTTCAACAGGAACTGGAACAACTTTACTACTTAATTTCTTTAGAAACACATCTTTATCAAGCAAATATAGTTGCTTTTCATTCCTATTGCCTTGCAAAATCAGAACATCATTTTTATAAACTTTACATCCATCGCTTTGACCAATGTAGGTATATCCATGAGAAGCTAACTCACCCAAAGAAGTCAAATTGTGACTACAACTCGGCACATACCTCACATGACGAATATTTTTTACAACACCATTCTATAGCTTGAGAAGAACGTTACCAACTCCTTCAATCTTCACTTTCTCGTTATTACCGACAACAATATTTCCATAATTTCCATCTTCTTTCAACTGAAAAAAAAAAACAATCTTTATCATTACAAACATGCATAGATGCAACAGAACCTAAAACCCAACCTTTTCACCCTTTGAAGTTTGAGTTACATTGACATGTTACTAAAAATTCACCTTCTTTATCAGCAACACAAGCGTCATTCTTCCATCCATCATTCGAATCCTTCACCTGTTGAACCTTCTTGAAAGCAAACATATCCCCCCTTAATTTCTTGCAACGTGGTTGGATATGTCCCTTCTCTCCACAATAATAGCACTCTTTATTATTGTAATCTCTGCCTTTTGATCTAGATCTCCATCTTAATTCATTATCTTTTTCTTGAGTCCTCCCTTAATTAAAACTTTTTGCAACTAGCAAATCTCCTTTAAGTGATGAGCTGTTTGATCCCATAAACCTTTCATTCTCATGCAACAAGACAGTCACATCATCTAATTTTAAAGTAGATATGTATACTAACAAAGTTTGAACTAAATGTCTATAACATTTATGCAAAGATGACAACAATGTCAATGTCTTTTCGTCATCCTTTAACTCATAAAAAATGGCCAATAATTGAGATACTAGCCCATTTAAGTCATTTAAATGATCATGGAGGCTCGTACTATCATCCATCTTCAAAGAATACAAATACATCTTCAAACACAGTATGTTAGTCAATGATTTCGACACATAAATGCGCTCCAAAATTTCCCACAAACCTTTTAGTGTAGACTCAATCAACACGCTGCACTTAATCTTTGGAGCTAGGGCCAATCTGATTGTACTGACAGCTTTCTTCTTAATTCTATTCCATTCTCTATCAAACATTTTCTGTAGCTTGCTCTCTTCTAATGCCTAATCAAGACCATGTTGTACCAAAAGGTCTTGTATCATACTTTGCCATAACATAAAATTAATTTTACGATCAAATAAAGGAACCTCAAACTTAGATATATCTCCACAAAATTTGAAATGTTTGACAATCGCCAATCTACTCTTAAATTCGACCTCCTTTTGAGCTTGCCTTCTCCTAGATGGTGAACTTGGTTCTAATACCACTTGTTAGGAAAAAAAGATTCCCACAACTCAAAAAATCCACTAATCAAAAGCTTACAACTATGCAATTTTTAGAAAAGAAAAATTGTAAACTACTTATACTATTCCAAGAAGCCCAATTACACCCTTAATAACAGCCCAATATGACTATTCTTTTGGTGTCTTTCTTACACTTTTTGAGATACTTTAAAAACCTAAACTACTAGTCTATATAAAGGGGAGAGCCTCCTTGCAATTTCCTTTCTTAAGCAATATGGGATTCAAGGCACTATCCAAACACATAAAATCTCACAATGAGATTGCTCAAGAATTTAACCGGTAGCTTAAAGATAAAGTTTTCCAACTAAGGCTATAATTCTTAGCTGCAGTTTTCACTTATGTTGACAACTACTCTGCTAAATATACTTTAATTTTTGAAGCAAAGTAGCAAGGTAAGCTTAGTCATATTTCACCCTTTACTTGAATTTATGTAAGTGCTTTTTTAGTTAATATCTCATATACGAGTGTTGGGGATTTACAGCTGCAGGTTTTTCTTATCCATTTGGATAATGCTAAGGGCACTTGGGGGGCTACTATTTTCCATGTGAAAAGAAGGTTTTTGTTAACGGAATTGAACTTTCTAGGGCTGCATATAGTAACTCTCTAAACTACATTAGTTGGGATGGTATTCATTATTCTCATGCGGCTAATAATTGGGTAGCTAAAAAGATTCTTGATGGCTCACTATCAAATCCTCCAATCCCATCACTGAAGCGTGACATAAGTGTTGCGAAAAATATAGAAAGTGAACTAATCGCTCAAGTAATATAATTAAATGAGTATACTATCGTTCTCACAAAGATTGCTTACCTGTTTAATACTAAAATTGTTCTAGTTCTAAAATATTTGAAAACAACAAAAATCGAAATTTGGCTAATTCTATGAATTAAAAGGTAAAATCAACTAAAGAATGCAATAAACAAGATTGAATCACCAATGGGTGGAAATGCTAAGGCACTCGATTTCACCTAACCAATTCAATCTAAATCCCAAAAACATGTTACTAAAGTTTTATCAACCAATGTTGACGGCAAAATACTTTAACCTATTCGAAACCCTCTCTCGTAGAATCGAAATTACTCACATATAATAACTCATGATATCTCTATGTGAATTTAAAAACATATGAGCACATTAAGTTCTATAGTATTTCAACAAAAACCGTACAAATCACGTTGACACATCTCTGTCTTTCATTCAACTCATGGCACACATCATAAGAAGCAATTTACATGCATTATCTCTCGATCTCAATAGGCACAACAAATCATTTAAATGGTGACCAATCATTTAAAAACATTAAGTACAGTGGTGCATACTCAACAAGGATTGATAAAAAACTCCAATAACATAAATTAAGGGTTCAAATCATCATGGAGAGGCTACATCAAAGCCCTAGCAAAAGGAAATCAATTCATACTTGAACAAAGCAAAAGCATAATTTCAAATCGACAAAACATTGAATAAATAAAAGGTAAGAAGAAAAGAAAAGACCATGAAGATGGCTGTTCCACGAATTCCTTCACCAATCTCTCGTTTTTCTGGATCTTGATTCTACCAAACCATCAAACTATGTCGTGAGTTTCTCCTCTATTCCAGTTGATTTGGGCGAAGTGATAAACATAAAGATTTTAGCCCTTCGAATTAGCTTTTTAACGCCGCAAGAATCACATGATTTTAATATTTGTAGCCCAAGTTATCCCCAAAATACCAAAAGATGTTCTGATAATTCGGGAAAGGAAAACTTGCTTGGCCTCCAAGATTTTTAAGAATTTACGTCACTCTCCTCCTTTTGCTTTAAAATTTTCCGTTTTATCCTTATTTGTTTCAGAACCTAAAATAAATATAAAATAAATAAAAATAGGCATAAAGCATGAAAACTAAAATAATGCTAAACAAACCTAAATGGGGCTAGAAATATACATATATTTGAAGCTCATCAATAAGTCTCTTTCACTATGACCAAAAGTTCAGAACTGCCCCAATTTTGATTTGCAATCCTGCAACGAAGAAGTGATGACTTCTTGTCTTGTTTATGTTTAAAAGTATAATATTCCAACATTTAGCAGTGAAGAAGGGGGCAGTTTATTAAAAGGCCATTTGAAGTTTACATTTAATTAAAAGACTATTAAGTTTTAAAGTGTTAACTAAATAGCCATATTATTGATTAAGGGTAATTAGTACTTAATTAGGATTAATGAAGTATTATGTAATCTTTTCAAAATTATACTATATTCCCACAAACCCAAAATTGTTGCAAACAAACCCAAACACCTTCTTCTTCCTCCCGCTATTAACGCATCTCTACCTCTGCATCTTCTTCTCTTCTTCTTAGCTTCGTCTACATCTTCTTCTTCCTCTGCATCATCTTCTTCTTCCTCCTTCCTCCTTCCTCTACATCTTCTTCTTCCTCATTCCTCTATATCTTCTTCTTCCTCCACTATTAACATCTTCTCCGCTAAAGATCCCCCTCCTCCTCCTCCTGACATTCCGTCTAAGTATGTGTATCTCTTTTTTACATTTTATATTTAGATTTACAAAGATTTAATAATTAATGGGGTTTGGGTTATGATTTTGATTTAGTTGTTTAGGTTGTTGGGTTGTGTTTGATGTAATGCAAGTTGAAAGGAGTGAAATTTGTTGAAAATTTGTTCTAGGTATGTGTTCTAGGTATGACAGAATCGATTGTAGGTAGAGATGACTGAAAATGTGTTCTGGGTATGATGGATCGCTTAAGCGATCTGATGTATCGTTTAAGTGATCTGGTAGGTTTGGTAATGCAGCAGATAGATCACTTAAACGATCTGGTAAAAGTCTGGTGTATAGGAGCAGATCACTTAAGTGATCAGTAAATGGCATAAGATTGCTTAAGCGATCATGGTTAAATAACCATGACGCTTAAGCGATACAGCAGACCATATAAGTGACTGTACAGATTCTTTTTAAAATATTTGAACCCTTAGTACAGCATTTAAGAATTTTTTTTTTCTTGCATTACAGGTAGTTGGCTATTATTACACATGGGACAAGTTGTTTTGGGTGTTGAATATTTTGGTGAGTGGGTGGAGGAAGAACGTAGCTGGGAGTGGATTGGGAAGAGCAAAGAAGTTATACCAATTGTTGTGAGCACAGAGGTTAGTTTTGATTAGTTGATTGGTGAAATAATTAGAAGAGGTAATTTGAGTTGCTCGCGTAGTGATATAGTTGTGAAGTATGTTTTAAGCAAAGTTCCTGAATATTATAAGGTACCTCCTGCTATATTAAAGTCGTATGAAAGTATGAAGTTATATATGATTGATGTGGCCGATAATGGTTCGAGGCCGATTTTAAGGGCTTCTCTTGTAGAAAAACTGTTCAAAGTTGGTTCAAAGGAAGGGGATAACGAGGAAGTAGGCGGAGATTTGCCTAGTTTTAATTTGAACTACGAGGCCATTGATTTGTTAGTTGAAAAATCAAGAGTAGACGGCGAATTGGGTGGTGAGGAGGAGACTGTAGAAGAGGTTGGTGATAGGGGGCAGAATGAAAATGTTGAGGAGGAGGACCCCGTGGATGTTCCCATAGATGTAGAGATTCCTTTAAATACAGATTATGTAGAAGGCATAGATTGTGAGGAAGAGAACACCATGGTTGTTTATGCAGGTTCAGAGGGGACAATTGGAGGTAGTAGTAAATCAGCTCATGTTTTTACGGATGGATTGGAGTTGCACAAAGGGTATTTATTTGACAACAAAGAGGAAATGGTGAGGAAGCTAAAACTTGTTGTCGTGAGAGGTAATTTTGAGTTCATCACCAAAAAGTCAAATTCATTGGCTGTGACGGTTGCATGTCATGACCGAAAGTGCAAATGGCAGATTTATTGTAGAAGGTTGGCGGAGTCGGAAAAATTTATTCTTAGCACATATACCCGTGAGCACACTTGTGGTTTGGGATATATTTCAGGTGAGTATCGACAAGCGTCCGCTGATGTTATTGGACAATTTGTCAAAAGTCGGTTCGTTGAAGGGAAAGGTCCATCTCCTAAAGACATTCAGAGACTTGTGCACATAGAGTTAGGATGTGCTATTAGTTACTGGAAATGCTGGAAAGGGAGACAACATGCACAAGATTTTGTGAGGGGCACGCCGAAGCACGGGTACGCAGTATTAGAAGCGTACCGTTATATGTTTGAGTTAACAAACCAAGGTAGCAAGACGGCTTTAAAGTGGGACAGGAATATGATGTTTAAATATTTTTTTGTTGCTTACGGTTCTGCTATAAGGGGTTTTGTAAACATGAGAAAGGTGTTGGCTGTTGATGGTTGCTTTCTGACGGGAAAGTATGGAGGTACATTGTTGGTGGCCACTGCATAGGTAGGAAGAAAAGAATCACACTATCCTATTGCATGGTGTGTGGTTGCTATGAGAATGACGAGTCATGGACTTGGTTTTTTCAGCAGTTATGTATGATAGTGCCTGACCTGACGAGTTATGCATAATATCCGATAGGCACAAGTCTATAAAAAAGGGGATTGCCACTATTTACCGTCAAGCACATCACAGATTCTGTATGGCACCTTGGTGAGAACATAAAACAAAAGTTTAAGTGTGCTGGCCTCCTCTAGACATACTACATGGCAGCAAAACCTTATTGGTTGATGCTTTCGAGGAGCACTTCCAGCAAATCTAATCAAAGATGATAGAGTTGCTAAGTATCTTGAGCATGAAGTTGGTTTCGAGCGATGGGTAGAGCTACTTTCCTAGAAGAAGGTTTGATGTCATGACCACGAACATGGTCGGGTCCATAAATTCAGTTTTTAATAGAAATAGAGTTTCCAATAGTTGCACTCTTTGATGCAATCCAAAGAACACTGTCACGGTGTTTCCATGAGCGTCGTACGGAGTCGTATTTAACTACAACCCTTGTTCCGTCAGCTAAAAAATTATTGCGCATGGAACGTGTCAAATGCACTGTTTGCATATCCTCTTAATGCTCAAGAGTTCACTGTGCGAACTATGGTCCGGATGGCTGTTAACATTGTTAGAAAAACTTGTAGCTGTAAAGTGTTTGACATTCAACGTTTACCTTGTCCTCATGCACTAGCAGCACTGAAACACCAACGGAAGCCAGATTTTGGTTCAAGAATTTACATGGAACTTTGGTCCCCTCTCTATATGACAGATCACTAGATGCTAGCTTATTCAGAAACGATATATCTAGTGCCTCCAGAAGAGCAGTGGGTAGTGCCGCCAGAGATGGCTAACATTATCATCCACCCGCCATTCAAGAAGACAGCAGAGGGGAGAAAAATAGTTAAGCGTATTCCATCAGCCTTTAAGGTTCCCCGGAAGATGAATAAGTGCTCAATTTGCAAGCAACCTAGCCACAAGAGAAGCAGTTGCCAAAAGCAATCACATACAAATCAAAAAAATTAGGTTCGAAGAAGAATGAAATTCAGGGAGTTGCCAAGGCCAACCGTTGATGAGTTATTGTTTTCAATTATTGATGTTATAAATTTTATTGTTACCTTTAATAAATCATTCTTTATATTTCTTGTTACATGGCCTAAATATTTGTTGGTGATTTTAGTTTAGAATTAGGTTGTCAAATTGAGGAGAAAGTATGGAATTAATACGTGTTGGTAATTTTAGTTTGTCAAAATTCAGGAGAAAAGCAGGAAAAGTATATATTTCCCATGATCACTTAAGCGACAAAGGGTTTTTCAAACAGGATGGCTTAAGAGATATCACGGATCGTTTAAGCGATCCATGATCGCTTAATCGACCAAGACAAAAAGACAAGAATCACTTAAGCAATATCTCAGATTGCTTAAGCGATTCAAGATATCGCTTAATCGACCAAGACAAAAAGACAAGAATCGCTTAAGTGATCCACGATCGCTTAATCGACCAAGATAAAAAGACAAGAATCGCTTAAGCGATATCTGGGATCGCTTAAGCTTCACGATCGCTTAAGCGATCCACGATCGCTTAAGCGATCCACGATCGCTTAATCAACCAAGACAAAAAGACAAGAATTGCTTAAGCGATCCACGATCGCTTAATCGACCAAGAAAAAAAGATGAGAATCGCTTAAGCGATCATGCACCTTGGCAAATTTGATTCTACCAATCACATGAGATCGCTTAAGCAATCCACGATCGCTTAATCGACCAAGTGAAAAAGAAAAGAATCGCTTAAGCGATATCTACGATCGCTTAAGCGACCCTATGTAAACGAACTTCCTTTTAGTACGATCGCTTAATCGACCAACGAAAGATTTAAAAATTTCATAAATACACCCCACCTACCCAACTTCCCAGATTTCGGCCACCACTATCGGAAACCTATCGGAAAAGGGCGTTATGACGCATAGCGGTCGGATCAGGCTAATAGGGCATCGATATGGCCTTTTCCGGCCAAATCAACCATGGATGTGGCCGGAAAAGGCCAGATCTGGCTGTCGATGGATGAAAAAGGTGACATCTGGCCATCTGTGACGACCAAATATATGGCCATCGTTTTCGGTCAACGATGCCTTAGATTTGGCCATCGTTGACCGTCAACGTCAGCCATTTCTTTTGAAAGTCGATGACGGCCTGATGTGGCCTTTTCCAGCTAGATCCAAAAAATGTCACATCTATGAATTACCAATCGTTTGTAGCCGTCGGTGGTGCCGGAATCTGGGAAGTTTGGTGGGTGGGGGTATTTTTGTTACTTTTTAAACTTTTTCGGGTGGTATTAATGAAATTAATTCAGTTAATGGGTCTAAAATTTATTAAAAAATACTAATATTTCCTAAATAATTAAACAAAGAAATATTATGGGAATAGGATTTATAATATTTACAGGAATATTCAACCAAACGCACCATTTATGTTCTAAACAAAGAAGAATCGTAAATCCTATATGTTTACATAGACGTAAACATTCAACACTTTATATGTTTCATACTGACGTAAAAGAACTATATGTTTAATATAAATATAATAACGGTCATAGTCCACAAAGACGAATCATAAACCCTATATGTTTAGCATAGACGTAAACATTCAACACTTTGTATGTTTCATACTGACGTAAAAGAACTATATGTTTAATATAAATATAATAACGGTCATAGTCCACAAAGAAGAATCGTAAACCCTATATGTTTAGCATAGACGTAAACATTCAACACTTTATATGTTTCATACTGACGTAAAAGAACTATATGTTTAATATAAATATAATAACGGTCATAGTCCACAAAGACGAATCGTAAACCCTATATGTTTAGCATAGACGTAAACATTCAACACTTTATATGTTTCATACTGACGTAAAAGAACTATATGTTTAATATAAATATAATAACGGTCATAGTCCACAAAGACGAATCATAAACCCTATATGTTTAGCATAGACGTAAACATTCTACACTTTATATGTTTCATACTGACGTAAAAGAACTATATGTTTAATATAAATATAATAACGGTCATAGTCCACTGAACGAATCGTAAACCCTATATGTTTAGCATAGCATTAATCGCTAAACCGATGCTTTGAAATACAATAAATAATATTCGAATAAATAGGAACACTTAAGCGATTCTTTGCTTTTACTCCTGCTCGCTTAAGTGATCGGTAATCACTTAAGAGATCTAGCTCGTGGCAGATGCCCAGATCGAAAATCGCTTAAGCTATCCACTTATATCGCTTAAGCGATTTTCGTAAAACACTTTTAATCGCTTAAGCGATCCTGGCCAAGGCAGAATGAATCTGCCCATATCTATGATCGCTTAAGCGATCTTATGTATCGCTTAAGCGATTCATTGCTTTTACTCCTAGTCGCTTAAGCTATCCATTTGTATCGCCTCGAAAAGATCGCTTAAGCGATCTGAAATCGCTTAAGCGACCAAGAGTCAACTTAATCAATCGCTTAAGCGATATAAAGAATCGCTTAAGCGATATAAAGGATCGCTTAAGCGATCTTAGATCTGGGTAGATGGAGTAAAAGAGGTTAATCGCTTAATCAATACAAATGATCGCTTAAGCGACAGTTCAGAATGTTCCCTTGCTTTGGCAGCCTGCTCGTTCTCATTGGCCTCCTCCTTGTCAACTGAATCCTTAAAAGACTTCTCCTGGCCTGAATTCTCGCTGGAATCCTCCTCCTAGCCTGAATTATCACCTGAATCCTCATCTTTGAAACCGTTTGCCGATTCTTCCCTCTGTTTTTGTGCCACCAATGTCTCCTCTCCTTGCAGACCACCTTCACTGATAGGATGATCCACCGGAGCAGCCATTGAACTGCTTGCGCCACCAGAATCTAGGATTCGAAGTGGCTGATGCGTGTTTACTACAACATGCAAAGAATAGCAAGTGCACTAGTCGCATAAAGTAAAAGAGTGATGGGTAGGATATCGTTCCCACGAGGACTGTAGCAAAGCACTAAGTTTCCTAACGTTTTCAAGTTGAAGAAATCGAATTCTTTGGATTGGTGGGATCAATTTGTAATGAAAAAGAAAACAAAATTTAAAATTAAATAGAAAATTAAATCTTAAATAAGAAAGCAATTGAAACGCAGAATATCTGTTCAAATAAAAACGGGTAGGGTTTTGACTTTGTTTGGACTTTTGTGGGTTAAACCTAAGAGNTCATGCAGAAAGAAGACTACAACAGCACCCTGAAGATCCCGAACTACTCGAACTCTTTAGGAATACAAATTTGAATAATGTAACTAGTGTTGACGATGAAATTGAAGATGAATAATTTAATAAAAAAAATTATTTAATTGTTTATTTGTGAAGCGTGAATGTGTGAAATGTGAATATTACATTTATGTTAAAAATTAAAATTAACTATTAATTTATTATTTTTTCAAATTAATTAAATTTTTAGAAACTTACTAATCAACCCCTAAAAAATAATAAAAACCCCCTATAAAACTTTATTTCGCCTCTAAAATATAAAAAAATATCAGGAGGGGAAAAAAATTATCCAAGCCCATAGGACCGGTCCTGGGCCCATAGGACCAGTCTTGAATAGGCCTAGGGCTTGGTCTGGGTCCTGGTTTTTCTCATGGGCTTGGGACCGGTCCTAGGCCCATGAGTGACTAGTCCCATTTGGGACTAGTCCCAAACGGGCCCAGGCCTGGGCCCGCAAGGGACCGGTCCCTGCCCAGCTCTACTCCGATTGATTTACCACAATCTCCCTATGTATGTTTTTGCAATAATTTTTAAACCTATTTACAACATCCATGGACAGAAATTGCTGCTCAAGGAATGACATTGAATGCGTGACTCTTAAATTTTTTGTTATTCAGCGCACGCATTTGAATAGGAAAATTACTCTACGATCTTAGATCCAAAAAAACTGGGTTAAAATTTTATCCAGCTATAGATCGGGTCAAGACGGTGGACCAGATTTGTCGGTTCGGATTCGGGTCAACTGATAGGACCGACACCGACCCGAACCTCATTTAAAAAAAAAAAAATTAAGTTTTCTGTGTCAGTTTTCTATGGGGTCACATAAATAACTTAACAGCAGTGTAGTCTTACAAATAAATCTATAAAAGAAAGTATACAAAGACAATACAAATAAATCTATAAAAGAAAGTATACTAAGACAATCTCTGTCCTTCATCTTCGTAATTTTTCTCTCTCTCTTTCTCTTTTTCCGTTTTTTGTTCGTTTTTTTCTTCAGCTTCTTTGAAGGCTTCTATTCATAACTTAATATACACATCCACTAGGTTAACATTACAAAACTATGGCGGCTCAGAATTGAACGTTGAAGGCTCTATATTCAGCTTCAGCCTTCGTAGTCTTGGCATTGGCAGTTTGAAATTGAATTGAAGAAGTTTCCGGAATGCAGTTTAAATTTGAGTAAGTTAAGTTCATTATGTTTCGTTTTCTTTGTAGAACAACAAGAAAAGTAATCGCTGATAGCGATTTAGCTCTGAATCTTACTAGTCAACTGGGTTTTTCTCAAAATAAGATTTTCCCTACTAGGTTTCTTTCATCATCTTCGCATTTAGAGAAGAAACCGTTAAAAACTCAGAAAAGTGAACAGGAAGAGTCCTTGAAAGTTTCATACTTGATAAATTCATGTGGCTTGTCTTTAAAATCTGCTGTTTCTGCTTCTAAGTTTATTCAGTTGAAGAACTCTGAAAGAGCAGACTCAGTCCTTAGGTTTCTCAGTGACCATGGTTTCACCAAAACCCAGATCTCTAAAGTTGTGAGACGATACCCACGAGTCATTTCAAGTGATCCCGAAAAGACACTTTCGCCCAAGATTGAGTTTTTCCGTTCTATAGGGGCTTCAAGGAATGACCTGGTGGAGATTATAGCTAGGTGTCCACAATTGTTGTCTAGGAGTTTAAAGAATCATCTTATCCCCAATTACAATTTCCTCAAGAATGTTGTCATTCATGACGAAAAAATTGTTAAAGTTTTGAAGCGCATGGGACGGGGACTTTTACTGGATTTAAGGAGTAAAAATTTTGGTCCAAATATAGCTCTTTTGAAAGATATTGGTGTGCCTCAATCTCGAATTTNAAGCAAGGTGAACAGTTACTGGGGCTTGTTTTGAGAAATTTCAAATTTTAAGAAATATGTTTTTGTCTATTCGACCCAAATATGTTTTAATCCTTTCATTTAAACCCATTTTACGTGTTTAGTTAGTTATGCTTGGTTGGTTGAGCGATCTCTTCCAAGGACGAATAAAATCTGCCCAGATAGATGATCGCTTAAGCGATCCTCTAGTATCGCTTAAGCGATTCATAGCTTTTACTCTTGGTCGCTTAAGCGATTTAGGATCTCTTAAGCGATCTCTTTCAAGGCAGAATAAAATCTGCCCAGATCTATGATCGCTTAAGCGATCCTCTTGTATCGCTCAAGCGATTCCTTGCTTTGACTCTGGGTCGCTTAAGCGATTTAGGATTGCTTAAGCGATCTCTTCCGAGGTAGAGTAAAATCTGCACAGATCTATGATCGCTTAAGCGATCCTCTTGTATCGCTCAAGCGATTCCTTACTTTGACTCTGGGTCGCTTAAACAATTTAGGATCGCTTAAGCGATCTCTTTCGAGGCAGAATAAAATCTGCACAGATCTATGATCGCTTAAGCGATCCTCTTGTATCGCTTAAGGATTTGTCGCTTTAACTCTTGGTCGCTTAAGAGATTTAAGATCGATTAAGCGATCTCATCCGAGGCAGAATAAAATCTGCCCAGATCTATGATCGCTTAAGCGATCCTCTTGTATCGCTTAAGTGATTCCTCTCTGTTACTCTTGGTCGCTTAAGTGATTTAGGATCTCTTAAGCGATCTTTTCCTAGGCAGAATAAAATCTGCCCAGATCTATGATCTCTTAAGCGATCCTCTTATATCGCTCAAGCGATTCCTCGCTTTGACTCTGGGTCGCTTAAGCGATTTAGGATCGCTTAAGCGATCTCTTCTGAGGCAGAATAAAATCTGCACAGATCAATGATTGCTTGTATCGCTTAAGCGATTCGTCGCTTTAACTCTTGGTTGCTTAAGAGATTTAAGATCGATTAAGTGATCTCATCTGAGGCAGAATAAAATCTGCCCAGATCTATGATCTCTTAAGCGATCCTCTTGTATCGCTCAAGCGATTCCTCGCTTTGACTCTTGATCGCTTAAGCGATCTCTTCTGAGGCAGAATAAAATCTGCCCAGATCTATGATCGCTTAAGCGATCCTCTGTTATCGCTTAAGCGATTCCTCGCTTTTACTCTTGGTTGCTTAAGTGATTTAGGATCTCTTAAGCGATCTTTTCCGAGGCAGAATAAAATCTGCCCAGATCTATGATCGCTTAAGCGATCCTCTGTTATCGCTTAAGCGATTCGTCGCTTTTACTCTTGGTCGTTTAAGCGATTGTAGATCGCTTAAGCGATCATTTGAGAAAAAATCTTGGTCGCTGAAGAGATATCTGTGGTCGCTCATATATCGCTTAAGCGATCATGGAAAAAAAAAAAAAGAATCCTACATTTCTCTTGTATTATGTAATAATTTGTCATTTATAACTCATTTTTCTCCCAAATACACTACAAGAATTTAGGCTTCTCACAACAAAATAATTTGTCACTATAAATATCAAAATTGTGACCATTTTTTAATGTGAGGAATTATATTGGTCACCAAGTTAGTCACATTAAGCTCATACTCTTATGTGTATGGTGATGAAAGAGCGTTTGGTCACTATAACCTAATTATTTATTGTAACAATAATAATTTATCACTTTAAACTAGTTTATTGTGGTAAATTATTTGTAACAATAGAAGATAATTTTTTTCACTATAAATAATATTGTCATAATTGATTTACATTTAAATACCAAATGATAAGCTTTATAGTGAGAAAATAATATATGATGACGAAATTGATTTTATCAAAAATTGTGAATAATGACTAATTTATCTTCTCATAATTTTAATAGTGACCAAAATTCATTTGTCATTGACTTTATTATGACAACATTTAATTTGTCACATGTTTGTTTATATGATAATATTATTTATCGAAAATTATATAGTGAGAAAAATAATTTTGTAAAAAATTTAATAACATGACAAATAATTTTTAATAAAAATTTTTTGTCATGAAAAATTTTNTCCTGGATTTCAGAGGCATGTGAAATGAAACAGGTTTAACTTTTGAACTGTGTTCAATATAATTTTTTTTTGTTTTTTGTGGTAGTAGCTAATTTCAAGTGTTGGATCTGTAGTTCTTTTACGCTAGGATGAATGTTTTAACATAACATTCTTAAACATTAAGCTCTGAAATTGTTGTAAATGACTAAACTTGAATCTCAACATTCATACTGTGTCCAAATGAAAATTAGAAAAGCCAATGAAAAACACTCTTATGCGATTTCCGTATAACACTCTTGATCGCTTAAGCGATCTTGGCCAAGGCAGAATGCATCTACCCAGATCTATGATCGGTTAAGCGATCTTAGCGATGCTTCCTAAACGAGTCTCTGTCGCTTAAGCGATTTTGGATCGGTGAAGCGATCTTGGCCAAGGTAGAATGTATCTGCCCAGATCTATGATCGCTTAAGCGATCTTATGTATCGCTTAAGCGATGCTTCCTAAACGAGTCTCTGTCGCTTAAGCGATTTTGGATCGCTGAGGCGATCTTGGCCAAGGCAGAATATATCTGCTCAGATCTATGATCGCTTAAACGATCTTATGTATCGCTTAAGCGATGCTTCCTAAACGAGTCTCTGTCACTTAAGCGATATAGGATCGCTTAAGCGATCTTTATCACGGTAGGATGAACATCTGCCCAGATGGGTAATCGCTTAAGCGATCTGATGTATCGCTTAAGCGATGCTTCCTAATCGAGTCTCTATCGTTTAAGCGATCATATCTGGAAAAGTCTTAGTCATTTGGGAAACATTTGTACATCACTCATTTCCCTCGCAAATCCGAAAAGAATTTGTATCAATCAAATTCATCACAAATCAAAATATAAGAGACATCAATGTAATCGAAACAGAAAATAAAAAATAGGCATGGGATGTGGCAAATATCAAAATATATGGACAAGCTAACCATTAGCCCAAACTTGGGTGAATTAAATAATCACACCAGTATATCACACGTTGTAGTGATACACAAAATGAAACAAAACGCTAAAAAACCATTATCCGACTTGGGTGAAGCAAATGATCACATCATACATAGTAAATTCAATCTGCTAATGAGATATCTTATATGGACAAAAAAAAAAAAAAAATTATCTCTCAAATGTCAGATCCAATTTTTTACAAAAATTTCCTATACACTGTCAGCAACCTCTCTGAGATCATTGTTTTGTACCATGCCTTCCCAGTAGCCTTTATTGGAGATGCCTCCTCTCCTCTTGCCAATCAGCATTTGTTTGAGAAGTTTCCTCTCATTGTTTGCCAGGAACCTGCAGACACGTCAACTTTTGTAAATAAAAAAAAACACGTAAATAAGTTACAGTGTGTGTAGGTGAGAAGTTCATCACAAATCGTGTCTTTCGGTAAAGCTCCATATAAGCATGACACCTGCAGCATCAGCACCACAACCCAAGTATGAACATCGACATCACATAAACTACAAAATTCAAAGTCCAACTTTCATACNATGATTTTGTCCTTATATGTTTTAATCATTTCATTTTAACCCATTTTACATGTTTAATGGATCCTAACTGTGCCACGTCAGCTTCTCTAAAAAAAAAAAAAAAATGGTAAACAGTTTCAAGGCCCTTTTTTTAAATCCAAACTTGGGATGGCCGGTTAGCTAAATTTTCTCCAAATTTGGTAGCTAGCCTAGAGCACGAACAGACTAGTTTGGTTTAAATATTGGGTCTCTTGGGCTTGATTTGTGCAAGATATCACAGTCAGCAGAGTCCAGCCCTAGCATCAAAATATATAATTAGAAATGTCACTATTATTTGAAACGCAAAATTTAGGATTTAATCATCCATGTTATCAAAATTATATGCAATGAATGAACAGTAAACCCCAAAATTGGATCAATAATTGGAGGTTGACTTATCTTATATGTCTAATACATGTTCTACATGTGATAACAGAAGGGAGAATATTGTGAATAAAAACTAAAATTAAAGATGGAACATATTGAAGTGATAAATAAAATCATTTTCTTTTTTCTTTTTTTCAATATGTCATACATTTGTCTAATTATGAGGGTTCTTAAGTTATGAGTTTTGCTACATCCAAGTGATTATATTATTGGGAAACTAACTGATATGTCGTATATTGGTCTATCTTCCTCCTATTTGTTCTTTTAGAGAATAATAGAAAATGTTTTTCACCGATATATGTATTTAATTTTGAAGGTCTTCTTATTCCAAAAGAAGAAACCAAGTTTGTCTCGATGTTAAAGGAGTTAACTTTTGTCTTCCTATCTAAGATGACACAAACATGGAACTGTAACACACAATTCTTGAGCTTTCATAGATTCAAGTCCAAAGAGAACATAATTGGACCATTGTGTGAAATTACGATGCTATTTTCATTAGCTCTATTATAGAACATATTTGTTTTAGAAATATGCAGATAAGTTTTTGCATTAATTTAGTGGAGACTTTAGGAAGGAGGAAGAAGAAGAACTCACAGATAGAAGATAGTGTTGCATAACAAATATTACTCTTATTGATTTACCACAATCTCCCGATTTATGTTTTTGCAATAATTTTTAAACCTATTTACAACATCCATGGATAGAAGTTGCAGCCCAAGAATGACATTGGATGCGTGACTCTTAATTTTTTAGAAAATAATAGAGATAACGAGAGTAGTGTATCAAATGACGTGACAAAATCCTGACAATTGATTAATTATAACTTAATATTAATCGATAGTTAGGATTTTATCACGTCATTTGGTGCATTACTCCCTGTGATTGTAGCATTACTCTAAATTTTTTTTTTCAGCACACGCATTTGAACAGGAAAATTACTCTATCTTAGATCCAAAAAATGAGTTAAAATTATATCCAGGCATAGATCGGGTCAAGAACCCCGAACCGGATTTTCGGGTCGAATTCGAGTCAAATGATATGACCGACCCGAC